ACCGCCAACTCTTGGACTACTATTTTACCAACGAATAGTGGGATTGACCGTCACCTTATAACGTCCCCACGGCTGAAAGGGCAAACATGTTTGGTGTGACGGGGATTCAAACCATCGACCCTCAGATTGCGAGTCAAGTGCCCTAACCATCTGGCCATGCCGAGCAAAATTATAAGTACTAGACTAATACATTAATGATCAAATACATAAACTATAACTACCAAGTTATTACTGAAAGTGGTATTTAGGTTTTAATTGCTTAAGTTATTATACTTCATGCAAAATGCCAGTAAAAAATCCTCTGATGAGAAAGCAAGTTTTCAAAAATAATTTTCCTTGACAATATTGGTTAAAATCATCATTACGAATATCTGAACAAATCCAACTCATAATGTTCACTCAGGACTAAATGTAAATAAAACCTCTCGTAATATTATAAATCAAGACTAAGTTGAAATAAATAATTGTTACACTTTAACTTGTGAGAATATAACCAGTTTCTTACACTGAACTCGTTCATCACATGGGTATCTTTGCTGGTTTTCTAACAAAATCATAATTCTTGGTTAATACTGTTCATGTACAACACACTGTCTCTAAACATGATATTTTGTTGTGGAACAAAAGGGTGTAACAATTTGTGATTTTAAAAATGTTAGTTCTTAATTACTACTATTTGTAAAAAAGTGTACAAAATCGTGCCTAATTAAAACATATATTTCAAAGTTTCATAAAAAGGTCTATTTAAGCAACAAAGTTACCCATCAACGTCGAGTTAAAAGTTATTAGGTTTCAAAAAGAATACAAATTGCTCGCTAGAGCTATACTGAAGGTAACCACTGAAGACATTATTTCTACTACTGGACATTTCTCTCTTAAACGAACTTACCCATCAGCATCTGGTTGAAGGTTATTAGGATTCAGAAAGTATGTATATAAGTTATTCATTAGAACTGGGGTGAAAGCAGACCCTGAAGATACTATTCCTGCCACGAGGCCAATGTTGTTAGGGAACCACTGCAATCGACAAGTGTTTGATTATTTTTTTATAAAATAATGTTTATTATCAACAACTAACTCTATTCAAATATCAATAAAAAGAAACATTAGATGGAACTCACTTCTTACTATCTTTGAAAAATGTTTATTTTTCTGTTTCTCGAGAATTTTTGAATTTTTTATATTTATACTTCTATTATTTGAAGATTCCAAAATGTTTCATACCCTTTAAGTAAGATAATACAGCCTTGTAATACTTTATAGACAAAAACACAATTTTCTTTCTTAATTATGATTTTCAAATACTAATAATACACAGGTAGTGATTATTTTTTAAAAAATTTAAAAATGTAGCATTTCGAAATGTGTTGGAGGTTTAAAATAAATAAATTTCGGAATCATTTAATCAAAATTTTGTTTTTTGAGAAATTAAAATTTACAATCATCTAATGATTTCTAACAGTACTTCATTAAATAACTACTGCTTTCTTCATACAGCATCATAACAGTTAGTGTCTTCGATATCAGAGCTTCAACATCTGACCCAAAATACTGAGGTTGTACCAATGAACACTGAGTAGTTTTCCTAAAAGTATTTTTAGAGCTAAAAATACATGCAGAAAGTCTCGAACAAGACAACTATGAAAGAAACAGACCAGAGAAAAAATGAAAAACGACTGTATTCTGAGTATAAATACAGGAACAATACAAGTTGGGCCTAATGAAGGAAGGAAATTGGAAACAGTAGGCGTCTCCGAAACATAACTGGAGGATGAAGGGAGAAAAAAGAGTATATAAAAACTTTGTCTTGGTATACAAAAGGATAAAGAACTCTCTTCATGGTGTGGCCTTCCTTTTAACTTCACATATTGGAAAAATCGAAACCACTGTCTACTTTGTTGACAAAAAAAATTATAGGGTTAGAAGTCCAATTAGGACAACGGTGTATGGAACTGATACAAATGGATACTCCCCAGAAAAGTAAATCAGTAGAGGATTGCAGAATGGTGTTAACAACATGCCTCATCATGAAAATTCAGTTGTACTGGGTAACTTCAATGGCCACGTTTTAACAGATAGGGCAGGAAACAATAGTAAAATTGAGGAATGTATCCCCCTCTGAGAATGCAATGGTGACAACTGCAGAAGAAGAAGAATGGCAGGTATTTCGTAAGAAGGTGACAAGAATCACTGAAGATATTTTCACCAAGGTAAATCAGAAGATATTTTATGAAGTTTGCAAGATGTTGTTAACAACATGCCTCATCATGAAAATTCAGTTGTACTGGGTAACTTCAATGGCCACGTTTGAACAGATCGGACAGGGAGTACAGGTACACCGCCTGTTTTCTGGCACCCTTGGTTCCAGAGCCTTGCCGGATTATTCGTTTTGCCGTACCAACAGATGTCGCGTAATAATAATTCAACAATACACCTCTGACCCACTAATTATACCCATCCCGTGTGTCTAAAGCACCATGAACTGCTAGAAACATAAATAAAACAAATATTAAATGTGAATTAAATGATTAATGAAATATATTAGTACAGGTATAAATGAAAATGGTTTATTAATTACTATACCTACAAAGTAGTGCCGCTTCCAAAATAGCAAATTTTAGAATTTTACTAGAATTGTAGAGCTAATCACAAAGGTCTGGAAGTTGAGAGCTGTCAGGATTACTGTCTGTTTCATCATGGATTTGTGATGTTGCAAGGGAAACACTTTAAGTTGAAGCCACTGAATTATCGGATGTAAGCTTACTGCTCTGACACACATACTTCTTGGCTTTGTTTTTAAACATTTCATCTAAGCGAAGTTTTTTATGTGCTTTGATCTTTCATACAGCAAATGAAGAGTCATTAGTTCTTGTTCCGTCACGAAGGTACGTTGCTCTAGCTCACTGATTAATTCACCCGTCAACTCAATTAAAGTGTGACATACCTACTTAAAATGTAAGTAGACCAATGCTATATGTGGCCGCCCAGTAAACTAGTCTGGCGGTCGCGGGAATTTCAAGTGCGCTTTCGTAATTTTGTCTGGATTAAAGGATGTGCCAGACCATCAGCTGCTATAAAGAATCTTCAATGCAGTATGGAAACAAGGTGATATACTAGCATAATGGCGCAAGGCAATTATTTGACCGCTTACACCCATTTACGGGCAAAACTGTGACCATAGCGAGTGTGATAACCACAGGTGCATATCACTGGTACCTCACATTGACAAAATATATTGAAGCATACTGGAAATATGGCTAAGAATTTGTATGAAGAAACTAGGATAGTGGCAACATGGTTTTAAATTACGAGGTAGTACCTCTGACTTAACCTTCTATATAAAAAATATTTTTGAAAATCATAGAAGTGTAACAATAACAAGTATTTAGCTTTTATGCATCTGGAAAGAGATACCGAAGATCATACCTCCTAAGTTTTACCAGGTAATAGGAGGCAAGTATAAAGTTTAGGCGCAGTGAGGCCCCAGTCAGGAAAATGACATTGGTTTGAAGTAGCCACTGGTGTACTGCAGTGTAACATGTTCTCCTGTGCTTGTTCATTTTGCTGGTGGATGAAGTACTGGAGGAAGAAGACCACCCCACAGTTAGACTGGATTAAGGGATACTTGCATATGTAGACGGCGTTAGTATTGTTACATCTATTGAAAGATTTACAGGCACATAGAGATAAATGATGTAAACTGATTGAAGTATTTGGCTTGAAACTCAATGTTTTGAAACTATAAATAGTGATATTGTCACGTATATCACAACAAGCTTCGAATATCTAGAAGTGCCCTTTAACCAACGAGCAGATAAATAAAATGCAAGGTTAAGCCAGTATAGCAGAAAGGTAAGCAAGCTTTAAACACTGCTGAGGTACAAATAAATACCACAAAAAGCTACCATATATAACCCCCATACTCCATCCTCTGTTGTTTTATGGGAATTGGACATGGACCTTGAATGCTAAAATTAAAAGTAAAGTTCAAGCAGTCTTATCAGTGGTGCCACATTCAGAGACAGAAAGAAAAATGATAATATAGGTTAAACTTGATAGTGAAAGAAGTGCTGAAGGTCACTGAGAAAGCACAGCTAAGATGATATGCAGAACAAGAGAATGCCTCTAAAGTGAATCATGTGGAAGTGGAAAGAAAACTGCCAGAATGATCTAGAAAACGAGGGATAAAAAAATATAGAAGAGGTGATGGAAAGCAGAGGAACCACGTTGTGTGAGATGGATGAACAGAAGTTCTATGAAAAAGGATAGGATGGAGAGCTGTCTAGATATACAGGCCCTAAGTCTACCTGTTGTTGGATGATGATTAGCCGATGCTAGTTACCAAAACCAAATAAAAGAAGAAAACAGTTTGACAAAGTTATAAGAAATATAGTCTATAAATCGAATAAGAAACGGAAATAGTGTGAAAGATTAACAGCTACCAAATTATTCTATATATAATATGGGTACAACGTGTACAATTACAGATAAAATGTTAAACAATAATGATATTAACTACTAGATACTTCCTTAATTCTCATTGTTGATACTTTTATTATAACACAAATATTTTCAATGTATTAAATATTGAAACACGAAATTATTTACCTCCATAGCTACAGGTAGTGGTAAGCCATAAAAACAGAGATAACCAACATTAGAAATTACACCAAAGAGAGCAATCGTAGCTTCCAGGCTGTGTTGTATAGCCCAGTAAGTTCCAGCTGTTCCAAAACTGTCAATGATTAAAATATATTAAAGTTATTCACTTTTTAAATTAACAAACACAACCAACTTACATAAAAGCACTTCACTTTATTCACATTCTATCCTTCTGTAGAACATTTCGTCTGATTTTCTCTGTGACACCAATTTAGTGATCGAACATATATAGTTTTGGTTGTATTCAAGACTGACAAGTACAGATTACATTTATAATTTTATATGGAATATTGAATGAACATATCTAATATATAATTTGAGTAGGTATGTCTTGAGTTGTGTTTATCATTTCATAAGCATGCTATAAACATAATTTTTCAGTGGCATTGTTCTTGTTCTGGGTTTTCTGGGGCAAAGGTGCATTGGCTCTCTGTGTTAAAAATACTTATTTAAAATAAATGGCAATCAAGTAACACTATAAAATGTAAGGATAAACGTATAAAAATATACAACAAAACTTATCATATGGAAAATGTATTATTTTCCAATAGCATCCTGATAATGTCAAACGGGCCAGGAGAGTTAAAACACGTCTAAAATAATGCCACCACTATGATATTAAGTAGATACACTAAATTAAAACATAGTGAGTCAAAAACTATGATAAATCAGAATCATTTGTAGGACCCCCATTGCCTGCCAACGTGTATAATGCACTGTCTAATTAGTAGGTCTTGAAGTGCACAAATGAAACAAACAAACTTCCAGTCTGACCAGTGGTAGCTGATTTGATTGCAGTAATAGCAACAAGATTATTCCCTTAAATAGCTACATGGCCAGGAATCCAGGTGGCAATGAAACTTCAGCGATATTGAAACCAATCATTCAACCATTCTAAGGCCTTCAAAGAGCAAGTCAATGTAGATGGTCAGAGTTAGTGTATCACTTACTCTCTATATAATCTAAGTCATGTCATATTGTGTCAGGAGGCCATGTAAGCTAGCCATTGAAGTTCGACTTAAACCCAGTTACAAACAGATTTATATTAAATCCAGGTATACAGTCGCGAGTGGAGTACACAAGACACTAACTCGAGAAAGTTTACAGTTAGAATAAAGAACTGACTCTGAGACTGAGGTTTCAAAACACATCAAGCTTTTAATATAACATAGATATTTCAAAATACATCTTTCACATACAATACGCTATCTAGTTAATCAATTTTTCTACAATTCTCATCACATTATCTATTATAATCAAATGTTTCTCGACTAAAACGTTAGTAGTAACATATTCTGATGTACTTCAATATATGAGTCCTCTTTAACTTTATACCCCTTTTCCATAAGCCTCTTCACTATGTTACTCGACTGAGAGAAGTAGCAATTATTACTTACATCAAGGTTAAGACAGTGTTCTGGCCTCTCTATAGTGTAGATAGCTTCAACATCTTGTAACTTCTTCAGCATTGGAGATAATTGACTTTCTGGTCCTTGAGGAACTCGTTCAGCACTGGAGAACTTTTCTTTTAGTGCGGATATTCTTGATTTTCAACACCTGAAGACTTCCTTTCTTGTTTTGAGAGAATTGAAATTTTGGCTCAAAACATGGGTTTTTATATCCAATTTCCTTAGTGTCCTTGAAAGTTTCCAAATAGTGTGCACATCTACCCATAAATAGGTCTGAAACTTCATTGGACAATTTCTGCAAACTCATTGGAATTTCCAGAACCAAAGCCAAAACTCTTTAATAATTGGTTACAGCTAGAATCAGTAAATCGGCAGCCTGTTTGCTTGTACTACTCCTCGTTCCTCTTGACATCAATCCTAGGTCAAAAGTCCCGACTCCTCCCTTTAACATAAACTTTCTTCATAGCTTTTTCTCTGCTGCGTTGGCGTCGGTCTATAGATATCAGTCTTGTGAATGTACTTCATCTAAGCGTTCTCATGAGTGTGCTAGCTTCGATTTATAGATAATATCAACATTTAATTCTGGGAAGTATCTTTAATTTGTACTTAACCCACTTTCCTCTCTTAGTCAATCATAGTTATATAACTGTCCTTACTCTACATTGCGCAATATTTCTTCTTATTATGTATGCCTTGCATGAAACTTTTTATGATATACATATTTTCTCAATTTTTGAAGCATTTTAAATATAGTAAAAATGCTTAAACAGCCACAAATGCTTTAGTATTGTATAAAACTCAGCAAACATAGAATCTGTGGAGAGAAACCTGTGAGCTAGAACAGCATTGCAGTAAATTACACAGAGCTCATATGGTTTCCTGATTTTAACCTAGCTGTAAAATTTGGCGCTGAAAGATTACTGTTCATTAATAAAAAGCTGACACTTTCAATTAGGATTATATTGAATTTACAGGTGCATCAAATGAAGACTATACAAAAGGTGTACAAGCCAAGGGCCAATGGGATGATAATCAGATTCAGCCATCATGAAAAAATTAGTACAAACTAATGTGATGAAAACCAAGCAGATTTTGAAATTAGCTACATTCAACAGTGTTATACTTTGAACATTTAATTAATTCAAGGCATGAATATACATTGCCAGGTAAAATTCTAAGGCAGTAATTGGAGCTTTGCAGCATATTGCAAACTTTCGAATATAAAATAGATGTTTATACGACTCTGCCTGAAAATATTATGCTGGAGAAGTACAGAAAGTCCGATATATTGTATTGAGTTTAACTTCTGCAAAGCAGTTATAGCAGAAGCCAGAGCTCCATAGTCCTGTTTAGACTGAATAAGGGAAAATGGATTTTAGTATAAAATAACTATCTGCTCTTTAATAGATGAAAGAGATTCTGTGGAGAATTTTTTACAGTTGACATGAAGTTATTTGTAGCTCTATGTATTTTGAAAACAAACTACCATTTTGTTTGATAATACTGACATTCATTTGACCTAGCCATAATTGATCAACTGGTTGATCGTGAAAACGCTATCCTAGGTCTTCTACAGAAATTCAAGGTCAAAGTAGTGCATTGCAGTGACACAGGCACCAAAAAACTACCAGGATTATCTCATCCACTTCAAGGAACATCATATATGGAAAAAATATGGGTAGAAACGTATATCCCATAAGAAGTAAATTGCATAGGCAGAAATCTCTCTGAGCAGTTCTCTCACTGTGAATCAGTCGAGGGGTTAAGAACGATTTCTGTTTCAACCAAAAGAGCTTATAAAAGCTTACCAGCTCTCCGAAGTTGACCAAGATAATTCAGAAATGGGTATCTTCTTGTCAAAACATAACAACCTCAAGACAGTGATGTTTCTAGAAAGGAGTGTAAAATTATAAACAGAAGTGCAGGGACTTCGAAAGATGGTAGCATATTAGCAAAGTTTTCTGTATATGATCATATTATTGTTATACATTCTTCTGTTTCATAAAAAAAAGAAAAAATCAGTGGTCATTGATACAGTGGAGTTCTCGAGGATGAAGTGCTTCACACCGTAAAAAGCTAAATACTTTGAGGAGAGCATAACAATGGGCATTGTACCCAAACACTAATACCAGACATTATGTCCAAAATATCTCATACTGGTAATTGGTTGAATCTACCCATAATTGACCCCAGGACTTCTCGTGTTAGAGAATTTAAAGCCATATTATGTATTGCAGGCACTACTCAAAATACGATTTTTTCCTTTCAACACATGTGGCAAACACGTGAGTAAATATTATATTCCAGAGAATATTACCGGAATGTCCCCTCACTATGACCAGGAATCACCATCTATGTGTATAGCCCAGTACCACACCTCATAGTTTAAACCCTATGACATAGTTCATAGTTCAACACTGTATCTTATAGTTTAGGTATTACACTGTCAAGAATTGAGATAGTTACTTTCTAAGCAACGTGTGCAAATTCGGTGAATGATTTCAGGATAAAAACAGCTGATTATGAAATGTTTTGTAACATCTTATATTCACATAATTTCCTCTGTTATTACGTTTATTAAAAGGTATTTTATAATCATCTTAATAAATACTGAAAAAACTCAAATGTGAAGCTTTTCTTTCCCAACGCTCTGGTATTAGAAACGTTATTTTGCTGTACTTCGTAAGATGAAATTTCATTATCAAATAACTATCACTCAAATATCAAAAACATAAAGTTGGTTTGATTTAAGAAATTTAGTGTCTTTATTTCCAAGTATAAAATTAAAATATTTTCCTACCTGTAAATAGCAGTACCAATTAGGATAGTAGGCTTTTGTCCAATCCGCTCAGCTAGCCAAACTCCGATGAATAAGAACGATACTATAAAATCAGTTGTGTAGATAATCCAGGTAGTCTGTTCATATGTCGTATTATTGTCAACTCTTTTTCTGAGATAAGATGTCAAATAAGGAGTGATATTTCCAAACAGATGTATTGTACCAAGACCAATAAATATCAGGAAACACCCAAAAGCTGTTATAAATGGACGAGCTTTCATTTCTAGAAATTACCCACAAAACGGTTGACGATATCCTTAAGTTTAAATGATGATCTAGAAACAATAAATTATATATTTAATCTTCTGTATTTTAACTGTATATTCACTTGACATTCCGAAAATGTTATGGACTTCAGCAATAAAAACACATTAATAACGACCTGAAAATAATAGATTATATAACTTCGTTGTTTTTTGAAGATTTATTGGCGCAAAGCCGCAACAACTATCTTCGCAAATCTACTCGTTTTTTGTTGATTATTTATTTATTTAAGTAAAACAGTAATAAAACCGGACAATTAATAAATGAACTGGTAATAGATAATATAGAAGTAAAATTTAGATAAAAAATAAATATGAAAATAGTTTAAGCTAAGATGTTAGATAAAAATTAAATGGTTTGTAAAAATAAGAAAAACATGGACAATCTTGACAGTACCATCATCTGTACCTGATGATGACAAAACCTTGTCGAAACGTTGTACATTTGCTGTTATGTTAAACTTATATTACAGTTTTCCTTCATTACCTATTCATGCCGTCTCCAAGCATTATTAGTACCATCATCACCAGTGACACTTCGTCCCACCAATGGCAACCATAGCAACAAAAGATACATTCTAACACAATTGTTACCCCTACGATAAAAAAAAAATCCTATACATTTTAGTAGTACTCATCTCCATTCTGTAGTCTTTTTTCCCTTTTTTATTAAAATATATTAATAATTCAAAATCTTCAAACTATCCGTAAAGCTAAACTCAATACTCTGTACCATTGTATATAGCTAGTTACATTTCTGTAACACCTAAATCATACACACAACTACAAGAAAGTCAAATCTCAGACTGAATAGAAAGTGAAATTATGGCCTTCCACAAACTAGGCATAGACACACACACACTGTAAATAACACTCTATTCTTTGACCACTTGCTGCACTCGTGACTGTAATAGCTACACGTTATAGCTTAATAGTTTTCACTCTTAAATGATTTAAAATAACTTCTCTATTACTGTATTTTATTCACACCAGTTTAAGCTAGCACTTTATATTAAGTAACAGCCTGCTTTTCTAAAAATCGTCAAAATAAGAGCTAGGGCTCAAGCTGTTTATAATTACTACGTATTTACTAGGTTTGTTACACTAGCCCATCTTGTCAAAGAGGTGGTTCATGTTGATCAGCGTTACATGAAATCTAATAAAAGAGAAATAAAACAGTGAGTATATAGTTTTTATTACATAATGCTTTATTTTCCTCGTTTATTTTTAAGTGTTTAATGAAGTTGAAAAATTAATTACATTATTTTATAAAAAAGTGTCTATAGCATTTTGTTCAATGGCAGAATTATGAAAAAAAAAGCAAACAAAACGTGATGTCTAAGGACATAGAATTTTTTAAAGTGTAACTATTGTATTTCATTTTTTGTTTTGCAGTGAATTCAGACCATGAATAATTCCCCCACATCCACCTCCCAACATTTTAGCTGTGCATCTAGGTTTAAAATGAACACTTAATACTCACCTCATTGGTTTGTAACAAAACAAATTTACAAGGTGTTTTGAAATATCTGTTTGTTTTTTTAGCCTCAAAATTTCTGTATTCCTATTGTAGTTGTTAGATTTTAATGAATTTAAAGTGAGACGAATGGGATTCAAATCCAATATTTATTTATCTTTAATTATTCAGCATTTTCTTATCATATTTTGCGTACTTAAAAACAAGAAACTGCATTGATTTCAAAACATCCTTGTTCAACATGTTTGACAACAAGTTTTACAACTACCGTTTTTAACAAGCCACTCCATTAGCTTGAGACTTAGTGTTTGAACAATTACCACTATTGGCTAAATCTCTCTCTGGTTTAGAAAGCAAGTCCACTGGATATAGAATTTTTTTCCACAGAATATACATCATCTGCTATTTCTAGTGAATTTTTTATGGACTATTTGAAAACAGATTTATATGATGTTTCGGCTCTTTGCTGAATCCCTTTTCCCCAACCCTTAGTGACATGTTTGTGGGATACTTGGAGTCAAATATCTAAACTTCAAACACAGATTACAGAAGATAGGCGATGATACCTGCACTATCTGACTAAATAAAACTGACACCGTTACAAAGTTTATAACCCATCCGAATTCAAAACATTCAGTTCACAGGACAGAAAGAATCGAACGATTCACTTCATTTCCTAAATGTTCTGATTCTTCAAGACAAAACTAACATCGAACATCCAGTTTACAACACAGAAGGAATCGAATTATTCACCCTTTTCCTAGATGTTCTGATTGTTAGACACAGACATCATATTATTAACAATCACAGAACATACAGAACCTCTTAAAAATGCTAATTTACAAAGTTCCCAATCACTGTGAGTTTTACATAGATGAATCTGGAATATATTTTGGACCAAGAACAAATCAACCAAAAATATTACTGCAGTTGAAATATCGTCTTAGCTAAACAAGCTTAACTGATCAAAGAGACAGTGTCGATTAACACTAACTGCAAATCTATATACTACTAAAACTCTGTAATTAAATACAGCAAAAACGGCACACAATAGTGCCATATTTGTAAAAATACTGTACCCCCTGAAATTAGAATAGAAACAGAATAAAACTAGTTTCGTTAAAATCGGGCCACGGGTTACCGAGTTAGCACCGTTTTTCGGGTCACTTTTATGAAAATTTCTAGCACGAGTAATTTTACATCACACTACAGTTCGCGCTCTTTACGAAACTTTTGCGTTCAAATCTATTTCCCTGTCAATGTTCCCATCTTCATTACAAGGCGTAAGATGACAAAAACAAGATCTTGAAGAATTTCTCAATAATGTGCCTTGGTTATGGTAGGTAAGGAAATGAGAAAATTTTCTCTGTCAAAAAATCATTCGCTGTGAGACAGTGAGAAAGATTTTTCATTTGGCTAATTTCGTAGTGTATCAGTTATCACGTTTTGCTGTTTCTTGCAGTAATTTGAGCAAGTTGGTATGAAATGTTTTTCTGAAATAGCTTTTTTGTTTTTTTTTTTACAGCAATTACGTTCTAATAAACCATGAATAACATTACTATTATCTGTTATTTCTTATTTTCAGTCGTTTTGAATC